GGTTGGGGCTGGAGAGAACAATTATGGGCAGCCACCGGGTCACCTTTTCCCTGGGTGTGAATGAGGGATGTATGCTGAGCCACGAGTGCTGCCTGGTGGCGCTGGGCTGCTGGGTTCCTCCCACCAGGACGGCTCTTGGCAAACAATGCAGGTCCTACTTAGAGCTTAGAGGAGCTCAGAAGCAGGAGGGGGACCGGCTTTTTTGGGTAGGTAGTGATTGTACAAGGGGGAGTGGTTTTCAATTGAAAGAGGAGAGATTTATGGGAGATGTCAGAGGGAAATTCTTTACTCAGCGGTTGCTGTGGCCGCTGCTGCCCATCCCTGTGGGTGCCCCATCCCTGCAGGTGCCCAAGGCCAGGTGATGGGGCCCTGCACAGCCTGAGCTGGTGGGGGGCAGCCAGCACAGGGCAGGGGTTGGGGCCGGGTGGGCTTTAAGGTCCCTTCCAACCCAACCATGCTGTGATTTCATTAGCTGGGTCTGTCTGCACCGATGCCAGTGCAAGCTTCCCCAGAGCCTAACAGTCTGCAAACCGCTTTCTAGAGGGCTTTGTTTCCCTTTTTTCATCACCGGGATGGACAGGAGGATGGAGATGGTAGGAAGGGTGTGTGTGTGTGTTTAAGGAAGAGCGGGAGGAGCAGCGCGGTGCCACAGCGGCGGCCACGGCGGGGCAGTGCGGCTCCATGCACGGCAGTGCGGCAACGGCGGGGGGGGGACGGGGGGGGGGGGGGTCGGGGGTGGAATGGGAGAAAGGGGGGGAAATTAAACAAGCAAATGAAAACAACAACAAAAGAAAAAAAAAAAAAAAAAAAAAAGGGAAAGAAGAGAAAGTAAGCAAAAATAAAAAGAAAGGCAGCCTACAAATATAATGCACCATCTATGTTCCAAGTGTAGCTCAGCTCCAGTGCAGTCCTTGAGGTCCTGATGCTGTGTTAACCCTGCTCTCCAGCTCCTTGCATACAGTATCTGCATACAGTACCTTTTGCCTTCTTGCATAAATACTTTAATTGCTAATTTGCTGTTGTCTTTTAGCTCAGCTTTGGCATTTATCACTTCAATTTAAACTTGTTAAAACTGACAATTTTCTTGGCTACCTGTGTTAAAAATTTAAAGGGAAAAGCTCATTATTAAGTTACTATGGGTAATTATTTTGTAACTGGCGTGGAAATGGTCATTTCTGCAGCCTTAACAAATCACTGAATCATAGAACAATTTGAGTTGGAAGGGACCTTAAAGACCATCTGGTCCAACCCTCTGCACTGAACAGGGACACCCACGGCTCCATCAGTGCTCAGGGCCCCTTCAGGCTGACCTTTGGTGTCTGCAGGGATGGGACACCATCATCTCTCTGGGCAACCTGTGCCACTGCCTCTCTACACGTGTTGTAAAGAACTTCTGCCTTATGTCCATTCTGCCTCTCCCTTCTTTTAGCTTGGAACCATTTCCCGTTGCCCCTCTGTCTCTCACCCAGCAGCGCAGTGCAGAGGTGCTCTGTTTGTGGTAATGCACTCATCAGAGGGGTCATTCCCCAAAGGGATGCTTTGATTTTCAATGTGGCACCCAGGTAAGTGATAGTGGCACGGCACCCCCCGGCCTTCCCCAGTTTCTCAGCATCCCCGCGGTTGGATTTACACCGGGTGAAGTCAGCCTCTCCCAGCAGATGGCTCTCATGCTGCTTCCATTTCCCTCAGCAGGGCTGAGCAGCTCCGCCAGCTGAGTTTATGTGGGATGTGAGTTTTCCCATCGCTTTATTTTGGGGAGTTGTGGCGTGGACCCCTGGGGCAATGCTGGCACCTCCAGCTGCCCCTGCCCTCTGTGTTCTGCCCCTGCTGACTGGGTCAGCCCCAAAGATGAGGTGATGGAGGGCTGTGGATGGCCACGGCTCGGGGCCAGGCAGTGTTGTGGGGTGGCCCTGCAGACCCATAGCTGCACTGATGGCCATCCCCACCCCAGCTCCAACAGTGCTGCACATCCAGTGCTTTCTGCTTTCTCAGGAGTGAGGACTGAAGGTGCTGAATTAGGCACTAACTTATGTTTCTGTTGGGCTGCTGTTTGACTCAAAAAAATAAGAAAGGACTGTTACCAACTTCTGACCCGTTACTTTGAAATTTGAGTTTCAGCTTGCTTGGCGTCATAATATTGAGAAATTCGAACAGCTTTCCAGCTTGCAAAATCATGAATGCCTCCATTTGGCACTGAAAGCAACCAGCCCTGCATCCTGGATTTCCTTACGTTTGCTTTTTCCCCAGCACACCGGGGTCGTTTTCCCTTTGAGAACTATGCAGGGCTTGGCTCCCCATGTGCCGTGGCTGCAGCGCTCAGTGCGGTGCAGGGCAGGTTGGTTCATCCCCAGGAAGGCTCTGCCAGACACCAGGGCTGTGCAGCTCTCCCAGCTGCCCTTCCCTGCAGAGGGGCCCTCGCTCTGCACTGCCGCATCTTTGATGGCTGGAGTTGTTGAAGGGCTTTTCTACTGATAAATGGATGAAAACCCGTATTTTCATCTCGTGTCATCAAACATTCATCAGATACTCCTGGTCAGTACTGACAGAGCCAGATTTGAACTGGTGACCCAGCAATAAAAGGCCCCATTAGCAATTTCCCTGAATCGTCAAGCCAGCACGTAGTGCAAACGAAACGCCGTGGGGATTTGTGCCTCAGGTAAAAGCAGGTTCTGTCTGATTACTGTTTACTAATGACTGTGTTACCAAAGTGTTTTGAAGGGGTTTGTGCTTTCATATAATCCGGAAATAGGAAGAGCAGCACTGCCTGCACCCATCTCCCCACAAAGGGCAGAGCTGTATGAACCCAACCTGCTCACAACACGGGTGGGGAAGAGCCCCTCTGAGCCCTGGGACCCAACAACATCCTCGTGTAGCACTGTGGGACCATCCTGTGCCAGGCCTGTGCTGTGATGGTGCTCCCTGCAGGCAGGCAGGCTGCTTTGCCTCCCATTACTGCTCTGTTCTTTCACCAGCAATTTTTATATCTCGGTTCTTTCTCTCTTTACAGAATCATTTGAAGAAATAATGTGTGGGGGAAAAAAAAAATATTACCTCCGGCAGTTGTGTTATAATGGCTCTTGTGCTGACAGCCCTTTGGGAACGGTGGCAGCAGCAGGGTAAGTATATATGACATCTTTGTAGTGATAAAGAAACAAATAAATGTTCCCATTAACACTCCATCAGGTCAACAGCTATTCCAGGCCGCTGTGATGCGAGAGGGACCGGCCTGATTCATATCACCTCAGGCACGCTTCCCTCGCAGCATCTCCTCCACAGAGCAGAGGTCCTGTTGGAGCCAGGTGGAGCCATTAAAGGAGCTGTGAACTTTTTACAAGTCGCCTGAAGTGCCCTGGCCTGAATCCAACCCTGGTGTTGTTGCTGCGTCTGTTTCGCAGTTCCTCCATCACACCCCGACAATGGCTCTGTGTCGGCACTGCAGGAAGTTGTTCCTCCAGGTTTGCAGCACGTTTTGGGAGGTGGCTGCTGCTTCCTGAGCCCTGCAGTGAGATGAGTGGGGTGTGAGCCTCACTGCGATCATCTGCTTGGGAAGCATGAGCAGCATTTGTGTGTCATCTGCAATGGGGGTGTGTTTGTGTGTGTGTGTTTGTGTGTGTGTGTGTGTGTTTGTGTGTGTGTTTGTGTGTGTGTTTGTGTGTGTGTGTTTGTGTGTGTGTGTTTGTGTGTGTGTGTTTGTGTGTGTGTGTGCATGTAACAGATATGCAGATGCTGCTCCGACTGGCTGCCCTTCTAGGGAAGGCACAGGGAGCTGTGCTTGGATGGGGACTGTGATGCCCCAATCCCTGTGCAGGCACACAAGTAGTGAAGGGTGCTTTCCCAGAATTTCCTATTCAGGAAGGTGTTTCAGTGTTTCAGTCTGCTTTCCCTCTGATGAGATACCCCATGTTAGAAGGACTGTGGCCTACACGGTGTTCCCAGTAGAAATGATGATCTCTCCCCATGCTGGGGTCACTCTGATTGTCGCTGTTCCAGAACTGTAACTGCTTTTGCTCACATGCTGAATGTTTTGGAGAAGAGATCCTGAGAAGGAACACAGGAGGTGCGGCGGGATGCATTCACTCTGCACAGAGATAAAGCCAGAGGGATCCCTCATTCTGAACAAGGCAGAGCCTGAACTTGAACTGCAGGCTGCCCAAAGCTCAGGAGAGTATGTAAAAAAGTGAGTTCTTCTTTGTGTATTAAACTCCTTTCTAACCAAAGTGCTGCTATGCTGTGTTTTGGCAAAGTCCCGTTGGCTGTGGGTCTGCACCCAGCTCCAGCCACATCTGAGCCTCAGTGATGAGCTTCGTTCCGCTTCTGCTGAAATCATGGGGGCCTTCTGGAGTTCTTTCCAGAGAAAAAGACATGGTCAGCAAGAGCAGCCAAAACCCTGAGCGTCAAGTCCCAGAATTAATGCGGCCGACCTGACAAGCGTCTCCTATTGCTGCGTTCCCTCACCCGTAGGGCCGCGCTCACCCCGCGGGACCGGGGCTGGCGGTACCCGGCGTGGCCGCCAGGTGGCGCTGTAACCACGCGGCGCTGCGGCCCCGACCCGCACCGCGCCCGCCCCGCCCCGCGCAGCGCCGAGGGCCGCGGGTGGCCGTGGGAGTCCGGCTCTCCTCGCCGTGCTTTCCCGGTGAGCTGCCGAGGGAACTGAGGGCTGAGCTCTGGCGATGCGCCCTGTGTGCCTCCGTAAGGGTTTACCGGCACGGCGGGGATACGTCTGTCCCAGCTAAGGGCCGTCCCCAGGGCAGGGGTGCAGCAGGAGGAAGTTTCTGCACGCAGTGCTCCTATCCGGGTCTCCTGCTGATGCTTCTTCACAGCAGCTGTGGAAAAGCAGGCTCTTGTCACCCTTCTGTCTGGTCCCACCTTCCCCCTGCACCTTTCAAGAAGCCTTGTGCTGCTCCGCGGTCCCACGGATGAGCCCTTTTCTTTCATTCTCTGCAGGAACGAGTCGGGTAGGAGGAATGAAATGCCTCCGGTGGCTGAGCCCTCTCACCTGCCAGAGGACGTCGGGTTCGTCTGTGGCTGGGAAGTCTTTGGATCAACACAGGAGTGTGGATGTAAGAAAATACCGTGTGCAAAGCATCTTTACTGGGGAGGATGTGATGTGTGAAATGCTCCCAAGCCCTTTTCTCCACACCAGCATAAAACGCAGGTAAATGCTCAGCCCCCAGTGCTCTGTGCCCCTCGGTCCCAGCTCAAAGCCAGAAGTTGTTTTCCCTTTCTCCCGTCAGCACAGCCCCGCTTCCCATCTCCCTTCTCTGGGCAGAGCAATACGGGTCCTTTGGGTGCCTTGTCCTCTGGTGAGGGGTGTGGAGGAGGGAACAGGGGGCTTTTCTCTCAGCAATTCCCATTTCCAACCCCTTTTTCCCTGTGTTGGGACCTATAGAGTGGAAGTAGGGCTGTTCTGTTGAGACAGGACAGAAAACACCCAGGCCAGGGGTGAGCAGGGCGTTGGGCCTACGTGGAAGTGCTGCTGGGGAGGAGAGGCTTTCCTGTGGCAGGAGGCCTTGGGATCTGCAGCCTCTCAGGGCGTTTGTGCATCCTCTGTGGTGCCTTGTTGGGATGCTCTCTCCCCATGCTGGGATCACTCTGATTGCCGTTCCCACAACTGTGGGTACTGCAGCCGTGTCTCCCCTGGCCCTGTTTTTAAGCTGTCCTTGCTGGTGAAGCAAAGGTGTGTCCCATGAGTTTGTGCTGTGAGGATAAAATCCCCGCGTGGCTGTCGCTCATTTGGGGAGCAAGGCCCATCCCCAGCGGCAGCAGATGGCAGCTGTAGGTTGTGTGTTCTGCTGTGTGTCGTACACTGAGAGCACCCACGGCCGTGTCCCAGCACAGGGCAGCTCTGTAGATCCAGCAGCAGGGCAGGTGAGCTCGGGCCATGGACCAGACCCGGCCTGCAGAAAGTCAGAGCCAACTGCATGGGAATTCTTTGCTTAAAAGCCCCGGCATGGAGCATTTGGCTCCTGCAGCGTGAATGGGGCACTGCAGTCTCAGTGCCAGCTACCAGCCCTCCCCGCTTTATTTTTTTGCCCATTCCTGAATTTCTCACTCTCCCCAGCTCTGCTTTCCTTTCACGTTCCCCTGTGGAGGTTGAGCTGGGCTTTAACCCTTTGCTGCTTGCAGTGCTGTCAGTGGCTCTGAGGCTGCCCTATGCCCAGTGCAGCATTGCCCCCACCCTGCTGGCTCTTGGCTGGAGCTGCTGCCACATCACCAGTGCAGTGTGTGTGTCCAAGGAAGAAAGTGGGGGGAAGTTGTCCCTGTTGCTGTCACAGTGCTGTCCCTGCCCAGCAGAGGTGCCCTCAGCCCATGCTGTGCTGCTCCTCCTTCAGCATCCAGGAAAAGGCATGGAGATGCTCCCCCATTCCCCATAACAGATTTGTGCCAACTGCTCAGAATATCGATTCAAACGCATTATTCCTCCCTTGGCAGCTCCTTGCCCTGGGAAAGGAGCAATCAGTGCAGGTGCAAATAGCTTTTAATTGCAAAATGTATCTCACCACGGAGGCATTTAGGCTGGATACGATACAACCACTGCAGCAGCAGCCTGGAGAAGACCAATAAGCTGAAACGCTGCAGGGGCCAAACTGCTCCTATGCAATACCTATGGCGTAAATATTCATGCGTGGCTCTATGGCTGTGTTCTTCCACGTGTCCCTGAGATGTGACACAGTAGGATTATATGAAAATTCAAATATCAGCTGCAGGGAAGGCGGAAACTTGCTTTCTGCAGCAGCTCATGTGTGAGAACACAGCGCAGTGGAAATGGGGATGAGTTGTGTGTGGACTTCCCTACAGCACAGGCTCAGGTGTGGCTGTTGGTGCCAGCAGCGTGCTGGCAGGGGCTGTGTGCCTGCTGCTGGGCTGGGTAACTGAGGTTTAACAGTCACTGCCCATGTAGTGATGTATAGAGGTGGTGGGAAGAGGCTCCTATGGAGTTCTCAGAATGCCTGGGGATGCTTATGGAGCTGTGCAAGGGTAGTTGTATCCAGAATCTCTGTTCTCTGGGTCAACTCTGAGGCCCTTGGCCGTGCTCTGGATGGGAGTGGGTGTAGCCCAGCTGCAAGGGCTCGGAGTGGGCATGGGGGCAGCAGGCAAAGCCACAATTAATTCAGAGTCAACCCGGCCCATTGCCCGTCCGGCATTGCCCTGCAGGCGGTGGGGAGCCCCGCCGGGCTGCCCCTCGTGTGGGTTATGCTACGTGCCAACACCGCAGGGGCTGCGGTTGGGGTGGCATCACCTGCAGGCACCGCCCGGTGCCGTAACAGCCCCTGGGAGGCGGCCCCGCCCGCGGTCCGCCAGCGGAGGGGCTGCGGGGGGAGGTCGGGGCGGGCACGGAGCGGCCGTCCCAGCGCTTTCCCAAAGAGGGCAGGGACCGCGAATGTTATTTGTTGGTATTATTTCCCCCGGGGGATTGAAGCCAACGTCGGAGTTTCTCCGCTGTCCCGTCCCGGTCGGAAGCGGTGCGCTTCTCTCGCGCAGCACCGCAGCGCTGTCCGGAACGGGGCGGAACGCGGGGGGATGCGGTGGAGGTTTGGGGTTTGCGGCGGTCCCGGGCTGAGCCGCTCTGCCCATCCGGGGTCCGGCGGGGAAGGAAGTGGCTGCGTGGTAGCGGGCACAGCCAGCCGCCGGGGGAACTCTCGGCTTCGGGCCCTCGACGGGCGGCCGAGGTGATCCCGGCGGGACACGGCGGGCGGCCGCCGCCTTGATGAACAAAGGCGCGATCGCGTTGGGATCAATGAAGCCCGGGGGGCTCGGGGCAACTTTCCCCCGGGCCGGCCGGAGCTCCTGGGCGGGGGATGCTAATGAGGGGGCGTGGCTTCGCCCCCGCGGCCGCGTAGCGCGAGCCGCTATTGGCGGAGGGGCGGCGGAGGGAGGGAGGGGGAAGAGGTGACGCGATGCAAATGAGGGGGGGGGCGGGCCTTCCGAGGCCCCGCCCCCCGCCCGCCGGGGCTGCGGGGCTCGTGTTCGGCGGCGGGGACAGTCAAAGTGGCTCCCATAGGGAGAGACGGCGAGTCCGCCCGGCGCTGCGGGAGAGGGAGGGGGCGCGGGCACCGGGAGCCCCGGGGTCTCCCTCGGTCCGTCCGTCCGTCCTTCCCGCTCCCTTCCCGGCGTGCGCCCGGCTCCGGCAACTCGCTTCCTGCTCGGCTGAAAGAGGGAGGAGAGAGAGCGCTTCGGCTGGGAGAGAAGAAAAGAAAGAGGGAGAAAAGAAAGAAAAGAGAGAGGGGAAAAAAGAGGGGGGGGAAACTTGCCTCTCTTGTCACTGGAAAATGACACTTGATGTAGCGGAGCCCGCCGCAGCTCCCGTTCGTCCTATTGTTTCTTAAACTGCCATCCGAGATTTTTTTTTTCTTTTTTTTTTTTTTTTTTCCTCTTGCCTGCTGCCATCCGAGGGGTGTCTTCATACAAAAGGGACTCCGAGTTCTCCTCCGGCTCTGCGAGCGTTGCCGGCAGCCCCCGGCGCCCGCAGCCCCTCCGCGCACCCAAACAAACTGCACGCGCAGCGCCCAGCCGCGCTCCGATCGCCTCTGGATTTTTATTTTTTTAATTATTATTATTTTATTTTTATTTTTTTAATGACCGTGCCTGTGTTTGCTTTCTCTGCCTTGCTTTGATTCCAGCGAGAGAGAGAAAAAAGTAAACACGCACAACACACAAAAAAGAACATTTAACAGCGATTTCATCACTTTTTTTTTTTTTTTTTTTTTTTTTTTCTGCGTAAAGAAGGAAGATTTTGCGCTGTTGTTTCTGATTCATGTTTGGGATCCAGGAAAGCATCCAGCGGAGCGGGAGCAGCATGAAGGAGGAGCCCCTCGGCGCGGGGATGAACGCGGTGCGGACGTGGATGCAGGGAGCGGGCGTCCTGGACGCCAGCACGGCCGCGCAGAGGTAGGCAGCTCCGCACCGCCCCAAAGCCGCCCCGGAGCTCTGCTGCCAGCAGTGAGTTTCGCGTAGCTGTCGCCAGTTAAATATTGATTCCCCCCTCGTCCCGTAGGAAGGAGTTTTGATTAAAAAAATCATCACAGGAACAATAAAGGAAGCGGCGAGCTCTGCTAGGTGGGAATAGATTGGGTTTAGTCTCGTGTTCGCGCGGAGGAAGGAGTTTTCAAAACTATGTTGGTGCTGCTTTAGCCTTAAGATCTCCCATCGACGATTCCCTCCTCCGATAAGCTGCTAGTTGTGCACGGATTCTCCAAAATGTATTTCTTTATTTCTCTTCCTTATCCCCGCCAGGATCAGCAGCTCCTCTCCACCCGCCCCGATAAGCGGGGACTGTGCAGAGGTTTCCGGAGGAGAAATTTAATTCGAAGCCTCCCTGTAAAACCACTGCCGCTTATCTTAGATTTCCCCAAAAGAAATCCCTGCACCTGGGAGGTGGAGATGATGGGGCTGCACCCGGCTCCGCTTTCTCTCTCATTTCTCCTTCTCCTCATCCTCTTTCCCCGGGGAAAGAAAAATCAGCTGTCGGCTCCGTATCCCGAGCCCTGCAGCCGGCAGCAGCTCACGAGTTCCGTGTTGACATCTCCCGCTGTCTCCCACCTCTCCCCGCACCTCTCATCCCCCCCCCCTCCCGCCTCTCCATTCGGAGCTCTCTAAGGAAGGGAAAGTTCTGCAGGGACAACCCTGAAATATTTCCCGTTGTCTCCCGGGCTGCCCTCGCGGTGTTTACCCGGCGCTCCTCCGAGGGGAGGAAGGGGCTCGCAGGACTGAAACTGAAAGATAAGGCGCACGCGGGGCGCTCCAGTGACAGCTTTGAGCCGACTTTGAGAAGTGGCAGAGCATGGCGCTCCGCGGGGCAGCGCGCCGGCTGGGCTGAGCGCTGCCCGCCATGCAGGGCCGCCTGCGGGAGGGCGCTGCCCTTGGAGAGGGCCGGTGGGTGCCGCTTCGGGGTCGGGGGGAGGTTGCGGGGTGCTGCGCGGCACGGTGGGGTCGGGTCGGGTCCCGGCTCTCCGCGGGGAGAGGCAGCGCCTTTTCCCCCACCAAATAGGAAGAGCCGCGGGGCGGTTCGGGGAGAGGATGCTCGATGCCCGGGGAGCCCAAAGGGGTCCCGTGTGGCCCCGGTGTGGGACAGGGACAGAGCCTGGGGAGGCCGCGCCGTCCGGGCTGCCGCTAACCCGCGTCTTTGTGGTCCCAGCGGAGTGGGTCTGGCCCGGGCTCACTTCGAGAAGCAGCCTCCTTCCAACCTGAGGAAGTCCAACTTTTTCCACTTCGTCCTGGCTCTGTATGACCGGCAGGGGCAGCCCGTGGAGATCGAGCGCACCGCCTTCGTGGGCTTCGTGGAGAAGGAGAAGGTGAGTATCAGCGCGGTGCCCCGAACTCCACTCTGGGGCCCTCCTCGCTCCGTTCCCCCCGAAGCCGTGGCACAGGCTCTTCCCGGGAGCCCCCTCCGTCTGCGGGCATTTTGCCAGGGATGGGGGGGCCCCTCTGGTCTCCCCCCTTTGCCTGGGGACTGCGAGCCGCCTCGTCCGGCCGAGTGATGGAGAAGCTTCATACCTTACACGTATTTTTTTTTCTTTCCTTCCCTCCTCCCCGTGTCTTTGGATCCAGGAAGCTAACAGCGAAAAGACCAACAACGGGATCCACTACCGCCTGCAGCTGCTCTACAGCAATGGTAAGGGCTGGGAGCCCCCGATGTCAGCCCCACCACCACCGGCTGCCCTCCGGCCGCTCCTCGGCTGGAAACCCCCCCGGGGCCCGAGGAGCCGCTGCTCCCATCCCCTCCGCTCCGCGCATCCCCGCGCTCGGTGCTTCGGGCACAGCCTGACTGGGGCGGGCAGCTCCGGCCGAGAAAGCTCCGTCGGGTGCGAGCCCTCGGGCGAACCCCGCTCTTTGGCCGCTGGCCCCGCCGCTCCTCACTGCTCTGCCTCTTTTCAGGGATCAGGACGGAACAGGATTTCTACGTTCGCCTCATCGACTCCATGACCAAGCAGGTGGGTGCTGCGAGGAGCGGCCGCGGAAAAGGGGAGTGCGTGCGTGCGTGCGTGTGTGTGTGCGTGTTTGGGGGGGGGCTGCCGGCGGGGCGGCGAAACCCGGCTCCGGTTAGCAGCGTGAGCGGCTCCGTCGGAGGAGGGGGGGAAGGGGGGGAAAGGGAACCACCGCGTTCCCCGCTCCGCACCCGGGGGGGCCGTAGGGCCGCGCTGCGGGGTCTGACCCCGGCGTCGGGGCTGCGAAGAGCCCTCGAGAGGCGGCCCGGAGCGCTCCGGAAAAATCTTGGCGACTTCCAACCAGCCCGACCCGGGGGCTGTTGAGCCGCTTAATTGTAGGATTTAACCTCCCGCCCCCCCCCCCCTCCAGCCCACCAAACGCTGCGAGCGCAGCCGCCGGGCCAGGCGCTGAGGCTTCTATTTGTCCTTTCTTTATTTGTGCGACCGCTGGGTCGTTGGTTTCGAGGAGGAGCGAGAGTAAATCGTGGCGAATTTGCATGGCGGATGGGAAAAGCCCCCCGAAATGCTGCGCGGGGAGCAGCGAGCGCCGTGCTCGGCTCCGGGGAGGGCTGTAGGGCAGCAGAGCTTGTAAATGGATTAACCCTAATTGTGGGCTTGCTCTTTAGCTTTCCAAACAGAGCAGAAACGTGCGTGCGTACCTGTAAAAAATACTTCTCTGGGTGCAAAGTGGGTTTGTGCGAAGGGATCGCATGAACAAATCGATTCTGTGTTTTAGGAATTGTTCCTCCAGTTTCTCTTCTGCTCCTGTCAGAAGCTTTTGCTCTTGTAAAACATTTCTTCACGTTTTTAAACCTCTTTTTTTTTTTTTTTTCCCTTTAGATGTCTTTTTTTTTTTTTTTTTTTTTTTTTTTTTTTCCCTGAATCTGCTTTACGAGTAAAAATAGTTCTTAAATTTTATTTCATTTAAGAAAAGAAAACCATTCTGGTTCTTGTTGATTTTTTTTTTTTTCTTTTTTTTTTTTTTCTGCACCGATAGGAAAAGTCAGTCCCTGCATGCTCAAACCCAGTTGTCTTTAGGGGAAAAAAAAACCTCTTGGCTTCTGCCTGGGTTTCTTTTTCTACAGCAAAACATAAAGCTCCAAGGGCTGAGTTTGTTTTAGAAAACTCTCTTTGATGGTCCCAAAACATCTTTTCCTGCTATTGAAGACTGCCTTTCAATAGAGAGGAAAAAAAAAAAAAAGAGAACTGAGAAGAATTCTACTCGACAATCCCCTGTGCATCTGAACTCTGTTAAACCATACGCTTCCAAACAGAGCCCTGTAGGAATTAAAACAACAGCAACATACCCTTATTCATAACAAACCTTGGGAAGCATTTGCTGCCGTTCCTTGATTTTCAGGCACAAATGGGTTAGTTTGTGTCATAAGTAACCAAATCTTTCAGATAGGCAAACTCTTTTTAGTCCTTTCAGAACTTGGTGTTTCAGTGCAGAGCGCAGGAGAGCGCCCATCAATAAATATTATCTTTAAATAGCTCTGCTATCGGTACGGAAATGTGAAAGCCTCTGTTCATAATCCTGTTGAAAACAGATCCCTGAACTCATGTAGAGCAATGGATTCAAAATAATTTTCTTAACAAAGGCATCTTGCATATGAAGAGTTCATCCTAAGGCGCTGTTTGACCTCTTGGTCTCTCATTATTATCGAGTCATCAGAGGGTCTTGGAAAGAAAGGGGAAAAGAAACCCCGAGATACAGTTTATTTGTAAAACATACCATGTAGCTTTAAAGCACGTTCACATGGAAAAAAAATATCTTTCTGATTTCAGGAAGCCGTACAGAAACAAAGTTAGGAGAAATGGCAGATTGTGGGGGAAAATGCAATGGAGTTGGGAAGTGAAGGTTTGAGAACAAAAGCTCTGAACTTGGATAAGAAAGCAAAGAGAGAAGGGATGGTTTAAACAACCACGTTTGCTTGAGTATTAGTTTCATTAAGTTCTCTAGGTGTGATTGTAATTGCTTATGAGAAATAAGGCATTGCACGTCAAAGCTGTGGCAGGGCTCATCTGCATGTTTTCAGGGACAGGGTCTGAAATCCCCCCCACTTCTTTTTTTCTTTTTTCTTTCTTTTTCTTTTTTCTTCTTTTTTCCTTTTTTCCCCCTTTCTTCCTTTCCTTTCCTTTGCCTTCCTTCCTTTCTTCCTTCCTTCCGAAGTGAAATCATGTCAGAGTTGTGATTGCTTCAGTTGCTGAACGCTTATTAGGCGGTGAAGTACAACACATGACAGAGCTCACCCAAATGTTGAATGTATCATTTATATTTTACGACAGTGAATTATACAGAACATTCTCAAGTAACTTTCAAATCATCAAACTGTAATTAAATATTGCAAAGACTGTCTGAAAATTCTTTAATTTTTAATGAAAGTTAAATATATATTGTCAGCCTACTTGAAGGTGTAGTATTTTAATGCATGACGCTCAGAACAAATTGGATAATGAAATGATTACTTTTAAATGAAACTGTTGCAGGAGCATCCACGTTTCCGCTGGCACGGAGCCTCCCCTGCTCACACGCACGCGTTCACACACTCAATAATTGTGAATTCCCAGACCCAAATTACAGCGACTCTGAGGTTTCTGGTGGCAAATTAAAAATCCCGCAGAAGCAAAGCTTGAATGAGTTCAGTTCCCCAGGTCGTGGGGGGAAGGATCTTGATATTAAATAGATATGTTTTAAGATATGGCCAAAGCAGATTTAGGTCTGTCCTCTTTGTCTCACGATTATGAATTGCGAGGTTTTACACAGCTGTGGGTTATTAAGTAAGATAAAATGAAATCTGTTTTGCAAATCAGACCTTGATTGCTCTGCATCGAGTCGCTACTCCTAGATTTAACCTAAAAGTCCCATTAGCAGCATACACCACAAAGCCAGGCAGGGCTGCACTGCTTGCTGTGTGTAATTGTAGGTATTCCTGCTTCCACAGAGTTCTTAATCAGGGCTAGTGAGGCTTTGTTGCTGTTTGTATGGTCCAGCTGAGGGCCTAGCCCAGGATCTGTGCTGTGGGCTGACAGGGGCTGTCTGTGTGTTCTATGTTCCGTGTCTGTGGGCGGCGATGTGCTGTGGGGCAGTGCTGGGTGCTGGTGGTGCGGCCAAAGGAAGCGCACACAGCACGCAGGGCAGACGCAGGGTGCAGATCTCAGCTGTGCGCGCTCCCTCCAAGCACGAGCTCTTGTGGTGGTCCTCAGGGGACTTTGGAACGGGAAGCTCAGAATGTGCTGAACACTGTGCTGTGAGTGGCCTTTGGTGGTGGCTCTGGAGGAGCGCAGAGTGGGGTGGTGAGGGGTCTCGCTGCATCCCCGTCATGTTAGAATTGCAAACGCTGCGCACAAATCGTTAGTGTTGTGGGGAAGTTCTTTTCAGTGTCAATGCTGTCTTAATTACATTTTCTTTCATGTTATCTTGGCACCTCATTTTATGTCAGGATCACATTCCTAATGCGTTCAAAACCCCATAGGATCCCAAACTTTATGGCTGTCGCTTTGCGTAGGGCAGCAGCTCCCGGTGCAGTCGGTCTGGCACTACGATGCTGTGTTTTGAAATTGCCTGCAAAATGTGAAATATGCCTGCTGAAATAAAGCTGGAGTTTTTAGGCAAGTCTGGGGATTTTAATGTATTTAGAGAGGAGAGGCTTTGTCAGCCACGTTTTCATAAAGTTGAGATATTTCACAATGAGGAAGGATGGAGGAAATAAATCTGGAATACTTCTTACCCAAGCATTTTTCCTTCAGCCGTCCTCATTCATAAGATATATTGGAGGGTACTACAGCTCAGGCATCTCAGAAAGCATAAGTTTTGCAAGATAGCTGCTGTCTGTTTTTGGGTGGAAAACCCTTCTGACTTGAGCTCTGGTTGCGCTTCGCCTTTTCTCAGAGCTGTGACTCTGGATACGAGCGGGTTCTGTGTCGCTGCCTGTGATGCTCTCTGCTGTGTGCAGGGGGTTGAGGAGCTGTGCTCTGCACGCAGCACACGGCACAGCCCTTTGCTGGCAGCGATGTGCATGGGAAAAAAAATGTTATCAATAAGTTCGGAGGAGCCTCCGCAGACTCGGAGAAATTTCACACAAACATAAAACAAAACCTAACCCCTGTGATGGGGAAAGTTTACACTGCGCCAGATTTTAGCAGCTTTCTTGTTCCTTTGGTGAGATGTCAGAAGTGCAGGTGATTTTAATTTTCTCGTACGACGAGGAGCGGAGAAGTTTGGAATTTGCATGCATGATCAGGACCTGTGTTTGGGAAAATGTAAACTCATCACAGTGGAAAATGTGTTGTTTGGAGTCTGAGGGTGAAAACAAAGCTGAGGATTTTGGAGAGACTGCCTGAGCCAGATGGCCTGGTGCATTCCCAGTCTGGCAGCCCAACTGCTCCCTCCTGTATAATATACAGCCATTTGTTCTGGGATATTTACGCTAGAGCTGTTTCCATGTGAATGTTTGAAAACCATTAAAAATGAACATATTAGGAGAGATAAATTTATTTAATTTGTGCGAATACGTCAATAAGCGGGCTGCGTATCAAAGGCGGGGGGAGAAAATAATGAGATGCCACTGAATTGCGCGCTGAGACACAGCGAGGGCTGAACGTCCTCTCCTGGGGACCCAGCGCTGCGCTGCTGTCCGTGGCGGGTGAGCAGAAATCCTGCCTGGGTGAGCAGGGAGCGCTCGGCTAATGAGGGGTTAAGCACTGGGAGCCAAATAGATGCAATGCGCTGAATTCACAGCGCTTTCCGCGTGGCCATATAGCGGGTAGGAGCTAATCTGTGCTGCCCCATCTGAAGTCAATTGCAGAACTCCTATTGAATTCGGTGGGGCCAGGATTTTATTTTCTCTGTGTGTGTATGTGTGCATACGTCACTGCGGATCGTTTGGGTTCTGGTTTTTTTTTTTTTTGAAAAGAGCCTCGTTCTAATGAGCTTTCTCCTTTATTTCAGTAAAAGATAGAGTTTGCACTGAGAAACAGAGGGGGGATTTGAAGGCGAGTGGGTTCAGACGCACGCTGCTGATTTCTCTCATTCTCTGGCTCTTAAAAATCAGGACTGTGGCACCACCGAGGAGTATCATGGCCATGATCTCAGTCCTTCAGGACTTTCTCACCCCGCTCAGAGCAGCACTGCCCGCCTGGCGCTGCACGGCTGTTCAGCCCTCAGCCGTACCAGCGTCAGTCTGGATTTAGTCAGGAAGAGCCGAGGACAAAATCTGCGTGCATCTTTTTCCACCTTTTCCATCAGCTCTTTTACTGCTTTGTTCTGCCATCTTTTACTCATGAAAAAGCGGCCTCAATCAGAACGGTAGCCTTGGGTTTTATATCGTTCCCCTCCCTTTTACTTTATCTTTTTTTTTTTTTAATGAACTCTCACTGAAAAGTTTTCCGCATTGCTGGATGCACTTGTAGGCTAGGAATGAACGGGATGTGCTCAGCGCACTCATTTGTATGTGCTGGCAAGTTGTGAATTGTGTTTGATTTAACTTTTTATGCGGCTTTATGTACATAGAAGAAAGGGAGTTTCGTAGTTTGACAGTTTTTCAGGGCCTGATTCTGAGATGGGTTTGTGCTCGGGCAGTCGTTACTCATTGGGACTTCGGACAGAAAGGGCACTTCATTGAGAAACGGTTTACAAACGTAAGCTGAGTTTTGTGGGGAAATATTTAAGATCTTCGGGAGGAGAGGACCTGTTTTGAAAGATGAGCTGCACTGAAGTCAAAGATACAGGAGTAAATAAAAAAGAAAAACAACGTCTATAATTTTCATTTCCTTCGCTGATGTTTTGTTGTGCAACTCCGATGTGTATTTGCAGGCTTATTTTTAGCCCTGCTGTGGTCTAAGTTTATCCGCTCTAACTTTCACTTTATCTCTCATTAATGTGATCCCTATTTGACAAAGTTGTGGTGGTGTTTGGGTGATGTGGGCTCCTAACGCTGTCTTTCTGTGGCGAAGCCCCAACTTTAATTACTAGAAACGTTTGGATAGTTTTGTGACAAGAGTATCTTTTCCAATCTTAAATATTTTCACAACGGTAACATTGCAGACCCTTCCTGTAAATATACTTCTGGTCGCTATAAAGATGTGAAACTTCAACAGTTCCTGTTTCCTTTTTGCAACTAATTGTAGAATTGGTGTTTTAGATCAGTGCCGTCTGAAAGATGGTAGAGGATCTATAATGCTCGCCGGCGGCTGTTCATGGAGGTGGACAGTCGGTGCTTTGCGCGCTCGTTTGCGAGTAAATCGGGAAATAGGAATAGGAGTCGGCGTTGAGAAAGGAGCTCGGCTGTTCCTTTTGCTTCCTCAAATTTCCTAGAAATTCCTGGAGGAATAGGATATGCAGAAGGACCCGCGCTTATGGTGAGAAACCACAGTGTGCATGGGTGCAATATTAGTAGTCAAATGCAAACAAAGTGAAAAGCAAATCCTTAACGCAGACGAAGGCAGAAGAATGTCATGCACGCAAAGAAGGGATCACTGATGTTAAACACAACAGACAAGGTGATTATGTACCACAGTGTTGACTCTGCCCGTTCATTATTGCTATTTAGTTGAGTTATTTAAGCGGGTACCTGGAGGTTAAGTAAGCATAGCAGCAGGAAGAGAAGAGGAAAGGAGAGAGGAGGGGGAAAAAGAAAGTAGGATTTGTGTTCTGCTCGGTCATTCCTAATGCTCCCTCCACTTCAGTGGCAACATAGACTGGGTAATTTTGCTTTAGGGTTTGAAAACCTAAGAAGCACGAGTTGAGTTCTGCAGTCCTCTCTTGGATGCCGTGTTGTGCTGTGCCACGGTGAATGGGAATCCAAAGCAGATTATTCTTTGATTATTTTTTTGATTAGGTCCAACAAGGGTGCTGAGCTTCCCCTGTCTTGGTTGAGTGGATTTGGATGCTGGGTTTTCTGGAGTCTTTGTGATGTCCCTGCTGTGACCCCATCAGCTGTGGTCCTTTGGTTCCCCAGTTTGGGCTAGAAGCTTCAACCCCTCTTACAATTTAATGCTCAGAAATGAGGAATTTCTGAAATAGTCACATGTCCTGATGTCTGTTGGTGCAGGCACCTTCCCAGCAGTAGCTTTCAGGTATGGATGGGACAGCACCTCCCGATGTGACCCAGCCTGGTCCATGCTGGTGGCGGTGCTGCGAGGGTTCGGCGTGTCCCCGACGCTCACTGCTGTGTCCCCGACGCTCACTGCTGTGTCCCCTTTGTGGCAGTGCTTGGTTCACAGCGTGTCTCTTTCTGCTGGGACACAGCGCAGGGAAGCTCTCAGTTTTGGGGAATATTTGTAGTTAAACTGAAGTGAAACAATTATAACTAGCAAATGTAACAGAGTTGTTCCTGATGTTATTTGTGAAATTACTAAATAGTTTTATAATGCATGAAATTCATATTGTGTCTTACTATTAAAATCAGCTCATGCTTCTGCAGATTTGCATGTCCCAAGAGCCATGCCTCCGCTGTAGGTGCAGCACCTCTTACCTTTAGCAGATTGTATTTGCAAGGACTGCAGAAGCAACACGTGGTCCCACTTCATCATATATCAATATACTTTATTTTTTCTCGTTAGTATTTTCCACGCTTCCATGTTAATATCGTCCCACTCTGTAAAATGTATTTCCTCCACATAATACAATTAGAAAAATATCTTTTTAGTTACTAATTTACTGCTAGCTTTATAGACACCCATATCAGATGTAATTTTATCTGCAGGGTTTGTTTCCCAGTTTTCTCCTCCTGCGCCTGTATCTGGGAGGCTGTTGAGGTCCCACTGCAGTGCAGGGCAGAGCTGCTGCTGCTGCTTGCAGCCTTATCCCCCCCAGAGGCTCTGCCACAGATCCCAGCTCCAGGCTGGCAGCCGGGAAGAGTTAGGAACCTCTATGCTCTGTGCTATTGCTGTTGTGAAGGCAGTTTCTTTTCTGTCTTGTTTTGCTGCTGGGGGCAGCCCAGGGTAGGTGCCCAGCTGTCCGCATTTTGTGGGGTGAGCCAGCAGAGAGAAACCAGGGCTGTGTGGGTGGGCAGAAAGCAAAAACTCTGCTCAATCCTATGGGAGCTCTCTAGTATGAGCAGTAACCCGGGATGTGTGTAAGGCCGATCCCTCACCATTGCTCTGTGCCTGCTGCTGGGAGGGCTGCAGAAATCAACCCTTCTTGCTGGGTGCGTTACGCTGTCCTTCCACAGCTTTAACTTGAAGGATTCTCCCCGTGCTGCCTCAGAGTCAGTTTTTCAGGCTGGTTGTCCATCCCTGTTTGTTTTGGTGCCCTCTCACAGGGCCTGCCTCTCGCTTATTTATATCCTTGTAACTCTGGAGCTGCTCGCCATCGCAAGACGCAGGATCAGGCCTGAGTGCTTCTAGGAGCTACCAGCAAAATGCCCGGGTTGCGCAGTGTGCAGCTTTCGGAATTAAAAATGCATGAGCTCTTGCTCTGTCTTTCTTTCTCTCTCTCTTTCTTTCTTTCTTTCTTTCTTTTTTTTTTTTTAATGAATAGAGCCCCAAGTATGCCAAGCCTTGCTGTTGTTTCTTTTTTTTTTTCCTTCCTTTCTTTTAATGCTATTAGGTTTATATTTTATTCTGAATTGAAAAGAAAATTGTGGTTGTCTTGACTACTAAAAAAACCCATCCTACACACAGCTTGAGGGATGTGCAGCAGAGAGGAGGGAATTTAGCAGTTCCCAGCTCAGTTGTTCCCAAACACAGACCTCGGGCAGGTTTGGCCGCTGTTGGCCTTGTGCACTCGGCAGCCACAAGGCTGTTTTTTCTTTTCTCCCAACTCAATGTGACGCATGGCTAAAAATGTGTTTTCTTTCTAGGCGATAGTATATGAAGGCCAAGACAAGAACCCCGAAATGTGCCGAGTTCTGCTCACGCATGAAATAATGTGCAGGTAAGAGATACCCTGCTTCCCCCTAATTAGTGATGAGAAGATGAATCTGTCTCTCAAAATCTAGGTTGAACCTGTGGCTGTTTTAGGACTTAAATTTATCTTTCTTGCATTAAACAATCCCAAAATAACACAGTCTGGTGTGTGTAATTAGCAGCAAGGTCTCTGTCACCGCAGCAGTTTTCAATTGATAAAGAATTTTCCTTAACCGCGCTACTGGGTTGCATTTAGACCCCATAGCCTACAAAAATGGGCTCACCAAAATTAATAGTTAATTATAGAATTGTAGTTTTCTCTGCCCCCAATTCCCAAGCAAATGACGAAGTTTGCTCTCCCGGCAGCATGACAAAATGGTTGTTCTGGTGTTGCTGGCCTAGCAGGCGGACAGGGCTTCTCCCACCTGCCTGGGCCTAGCAGGCCATGCTCTGCCACCCCATGGCTGCTATTTGTTGGTGTTCTCCAACCACACAGATCTGACCCTCCCCACGCTCTGCTCCCCCAGAGGTGCCTGCCTGGGGCTGGCACTTAAATCTGGGAGAGAGAGGTGAATTCTTCTTCAGCTACTTTCTTCCCCCTTCTGCTGGCAGCGTTAGGTAAAGCCTGCTCTGCTCCCTCACAGCATCTTCTCCCATAGCCCTCAGGCACCCAGGAGAGGCTGACCTTGCAGTCTCATTAAAGTTAGTGGGTGTTTTTGCATGTCTGAAAAACTCATTTGTTACATGTTATTCGATGGCAGAAAATAATTCCCTGGTGGAAAACGAGGCATTCTTGCATAAGCTCATTGTTACAATCAGTTGTTTTAAGACTGTAAAAATGCCATTGCATGCATTGTAACTTTTACAAAACACATTTACTAAAAAGGAGTAACTTGAGGGGAAAAGCTGGTACCCACTTCTAAGAGAATAAACTTGGATGAGGGTTTCCTGGTGGGGGAGAGTCTTAGACAAAGTATTCAGATGGAAACTTCTCTGCTGGTTGATGTTTTTTCCCTTTATTCTTTGGAATCTGTGTGTTTTGTGCTTCCTAAGGCTTCTGTCTGATAAAACCCAGCTCGAGGGCAGAGCCCTGTGATGCCACTCTTTGCACTCTCCATTGCTCTCCGGGTGGAACCCCACACAGCTTGCAGGATTTGGGGGACTTTAATTGCCATATCCTATTTTTCTAGGCTACTTTGTTCAGCAGGTTTGGCTTTGGGAAACCAGAGATAACCCATTCCAGCCTCAGCTCCTTGAGAGGTCCCAAGCTGCTGCTGCTGGGAGCTGTGGCATGGCTTTGCTGAGGACTCCTGACCCGTCCTACCTTTCCCAGTGCAAGCTCAGCCACACTGACAACCTGTAATTGCAAACTCATTGGCCCAATTAGCACCACTTTTGTACTAGATACCTAGCTAGGAACAATTCGTGGAAATATTAAAGGAGGCCCCTGACCCGATAAGACTAAGTGCATGCTTTGCATTTCTTGTGGAAGCAGCCCAGTGGAACAGTGAGTAAAATTAAGCACATGCTGAAGTGCCTGCAGTGTCAGAGCCTGAATGTGCTGGTAGCTTCACCTAGTGTGCCCTGTTGGTTCCTAGACTGCAAGGTTTGGAGGTGGAAATAATCTGGTATCTAGGTTAGCATCCAGACCTCAGGAGGGGCTGAGCACACACTCTCAGCCTGCAGTATCACTCTTTGCAGCCAGCCTTTGTTCCAGACCCATGCCATGCAGTGCCCTCAGCCAGCTCTGGGTCATTCATCGAGCCCTTGTGCAACCCTAAAAATTCCCTCTCTAATCCATTAATTTTCTTATAAGTACTTCAGAAACATGAAGATTAATAAGTACATTGAAAACTTCAGATAGAGGGCTGAGTTTTAACCAGATCTGTGTTAAAGATGTGCAGCTTTGTCAATATTGTTTAACTGAGGTAAAATTATTTCCATTCTGGGGATGTGTAAAGCTGTGCTGTGTCATTTGAATCAGCTTTTGCCTTTATTGAAGCACTGTTTTTTTTCGTTCTTAAAATTTGCTTGATCAGGAGCTCTGTTCCTCTCCTCAGATTTGTTTGCTGCCAGCCCTGGTTTTGTGTTCCTAAACATAAGGTGTAGGGGCAGCAAAAAAATCCGACTGTGGTGTAGGCACGGTGTGACTGCTGGGTGGGGGAGATGCATTCAAATATCTTACTGCTCATATTAGATATTTCCCATTTCCTCTTCTGCCCATAGGTTTGTAAGAGGGTGCTGTTTGTTTACCAGGCCGCTTGACCCTATTGCACAAATCTGTCATCTATTGTGCTGCTAACACTCTTTTAAATTGCAAATCTGATGCTCTTTAGGGGTCTAGAAAGGGGGGAAAAAAATCTCTCTCCGCACCATTCTGTTTCTCTTGATTTCTTGCCTGTTGTAAGTGGAAGTTGGGATGTGCTGAATTTGCACCAGGGGTGCAAATGCAGCCTCAATTATAAGCATAAAATTAGAGTCTGTTCCCCATTAATCAGTCCAGCTAATTGCTATGCACTACCATTAGCCATATGGTGTGAAAGACAGCTTGCTCTCCCTAAGATGAAATTTCTTCATTTCAGACATGAAATAGTGAGGGCTCTGTATTTTAAAATAGCTTGTTTTAGATGTTTAATTTCTAAACAACTTTCAGCAGTGCTTTCTATCAAGGCTAACTGCACAATAAAACTTTGCATTTATGTGACAAAGCTGGGTATTTATAGGATGCTCCAACTACGGCAAGGAGAAGACAAAGAATTAAAATGTACGGGAGAGTTCTGGCTGCGGTAGGGATGCAGCTCTGAGGTTGGCTTCAGGTGGCTGTTTGTTTATTTCGAAGAGGTTCATTGTGTTTTGTCAAATATAAAATGTAAAATCCATGCTGTTGGCGAAAATGTTAATAGCTGGGGGGAATTCAGAGCCTCGGTGGAATTTATTGGCATTGTAGGCAGCGTGGGGAGGGACATCTATAGTTAATATTGCCTCAACAATTTCCATTATGAAACCTTCAGTGGCTTACAGCTTTGCCAGACTTAAACTGTTCTGGCTGAAATGTCCTTTGCAGGGTGTCAGCCCGAGGCTGACTTTCTTTGGAAAGTTTCAGCTCAAATGGTTCAGCGATTTCTGAGAATGAGGTTGGAGTAAAATATGGTTTTTGTCTTTGCGACATAAAGTCTTACAGCTGTTTTGTCGAGGAGCCCTTGCACCTTTCTGCCTGGCTGGGGTGGGAGCTGCAGCCCACCTCACCAGGAGCTGCTGCAGTCTGTCCCATGCGGGCTCACTAACGACTTGTTAGAGCCTGGCAGTAAGTGATCAGAAAGTCGTGTTTGTGCTGGCCTTGTGCCATCGCCCCGTAATTTCTCATTGTTCATTGTCCCTGCAGAAAGCCTGAGTGCGTGGATACACAAAGCAGGGCTCCTCTGGCCTGTGATGCTCCTGGCCTGCTGCGCTGCGTTAGGGAGAGGGAGGGTTTTGGGGTGCAGGATGGTGTGGTGGGGCCATGGATGTGTCCATGATGGGGACAGAGATGCTCCAGTGGGGAGAAGGGTGAGGACAAAGGCAGTGACAAAAGCAGGGAGCAGTGGTGGCCAGGGGATGGAGGTCTGCAAAGAGGCACGATGGGGATGGTGTGAGGAAGGTGGAGGCAGGAATGGGGAAAACCCATGTCGGTGCAGCATGGCAAGGGCCTGCGTTTGGTATTGAGGGCTATTTGCTTTAAAAACAAACCAAGCAAACCCCGAGCCAAATCATTTTTTGCAGATTTTTTCCCCCCTTGTTTTTAGTTTTCCCTCTCTCAAACTGCTTTAGATCAGACATAATCTGATTCCTAAAGACACTGTGCCTGAGCTCTGGCTCCCTGTCCTGCCTGGGGGGGACACCCCACAGGGCCAGCCAGGAGCTGGCAGTTGGCATCAATCCCTGCACGCAGGGAACTGAGGGCTTCTCAGTGACTCAGAGAAACTCCTGGGACTTCTTGAATTCCTTCAGGGAAAGGCGCTGAATGTTTAGGCACTTTTTTCTTTTTTTTTTTCTTTTTTTTTTTTTTTTTCCATGTGTTCAGTAGATGCTAAAAGTCAAAGCTTTCGAAGCAAGTTTGAATGCTTCTTTTACCATGAGGAGCGATCTAAAACTCAGGGTTGGTGTGATGCCATGATTGTCTGCGTAGAAAAATGAGGGTGGATGAGGCCTCCAATTCTGCTTGTGAGGGAGAAAAAAAAGAAGAATAACAAAAAGAAAAAGAAAAAGGCAAACGAAAGTTTGATTTCTTGCTATGGCTCAAGTCTATGGGGGCATCATCTCAGGACACCTGAGCCACGCAAGAGGGCCACCCCATGAGCAGCCCTGTGGCCGTGCTATCCATACTGTCCCTGGCAGTCAGCGTGCACCTCCCCTGCTTGGGGCTGGAGTATTCCTGAAGCAGGAAGGTGCTGGGGATGCTGGGGGCCGCCCAGTGCAGTGGGGAGCCTGGGAACCTTTGCTCGCCTGAGTGAGTGTGGCAATTTCTGTCCCTGCAGTCTGCTGGGAGAATGTCAGGACTAGCCCTGATTCACTTCAGTCACAAGAACTGCATTGTCTTAACTTGTGCCAACTCTGTTTCTAATTACATTTTAATCATTTAAAAATGATTAGCAGTTTTTATTGCCTTGTTTGTGGGTAAATTTTCTCACCCCACACATTCTCGCTGCACTCCATTGACAAGTCCTTTTATAGGCAAAAAAGCCCCCCGAACGTCCACATGACTATTTACCTACAGCATATTTTATTCCTTCCTAAATTTTAATGCTTTCTGGGTGCCAAGGCTCTTGCATTTATTTTCGTGGATCAATTGTGGTATTGTGCTGTAAAATTAAGCAGTTTTTTTTGGCAGTCCTAAACAATGTAACTTCCACCGAAATGAAGATACCGCACATGTGTGAACTGAGAGAAGTTTCAGTCCTGAATAGTTGCCTTGAAGCCTTCTGCGGTGAAAAGAATTATGTATTTTCCTCTCTTTGAAAACAAAAATTTATTATTTTTTTTGAAACCATGTTTAAACAGGCTGTTTTTGTAAAAGGTCCCCGTTTCCCCCCCCCCCTTTTTTTTTTTGTTTTGTTATCTTTAGTGTGGTTAGTTGCTTTATTGCTAATCTTGGTGGGTAACTGTATATTATTCACTCTATTGTTCAGCAGCACAAGAGAACCTTTGTCATGCTCCCAACAGGGCTATTTATATAGCATGGCACTTCTGAGGGCTTCTTACTGCTCCCGTGTTCTTCCACCTTCCAGGGAAAGGAAAATAGTCCGTTGGCACGGGAGGGTGAGCAGTCAGGTCCCTGGATACTGCTTGGAGTGAGCATGGTGCTCTGCAAAGCTGTGGCTGAGGTTCAACAAGATGTTTGATAACGGCAAGGTGTGCCTGGATCTGGCCTGGGAGAGCCAGGAGAGTGACCCCATGCCCTGTTAATTGGTGCCATCCCCGTGGGGGTCCCCATGCTGTGGTTCCCTGCCCTCTGTGGCCCCGTGGGAGTTTCCTGGGCTTCACCCAGTGGGTTCCTGCATGAGCCAAGCTCCAAGTGCCGTACCCCTTTCAGACAAGGGCTCATCCCAAACAACAACTCAGCATCTCTGTGCAAACAACAAGCTCCCTTAGCTTAAAACCCGAGCCTGCCGCCAGTGATGGAGCAGGGCTTTGGCAGATGGAGCTGGTGCAACATGCTCCAGCTTTGTACCCATGGTGCTCCACCAGCACAAGCAGTCATCCGTGTGCTCAGAAAAATGGGAAACGGGCATGCTCCCCTATAAAAAGCCAGTGGTGTTTGCATTTTAGCTCCACTCTTAACAATTATATTTCTTAGAAGGAGAATCATTACACTTCTGGATGTCGGGAGGAGGCTTCAGCTCTGTAAAAGCAGGAGTACTGTGCGGCCATGTAATGGAAGCACCAAGCAAACGTTAAAAGCTGTGTTCAGGGAAGAAGAAACTGGTTCTGTGTGCACACATAAATGGGACAACTACTAAATCCTTTGGAAAAGAGACCACAAATAGGCAGGTCTCTCTGTGTCGTATGATCCTTGAATTATTATTTGCAAAGGGGGCAAAACCCCTCTCTTTTTGTATTTTCCATTGCTAACCAGCTGTGCAAGAAGTTAAACATAGTAATTAACCCATATGTGACCCACTGTATTTGACTGATTTGCAGGCAGGGACGGCGCGGTAACTCTAGCCGGCAATTTGAACCCGCCGTGTTCGTAATGACGATTTTACAGTGTAATGGTCGCACTAAATCCTTTCACTTTTGCTCTGCAGCCGCTGTTGTGACAAGAAAAGCTGTGGCAACAGAAATGAGACTCCATCAGATCCAGTGATAATTGACAGGTAAGGACTGCTATTGTTTCCTTCGATTTTCTTTCTGGTTTTTTTTCCTTTTTTTTTTTTTTTCTTTTCTTTCCCTTCCTCATTATAACGAAACACCTGCCCTGTCTTGCTAATGGGGAAGAATTAGGAGTAGATGCGGATGAAATTTTGTTTTTGATACCAAATTAGTTGTGCTTTGCAACTGCGATCGCCGTGGCAGGGCCATATGGAGGCTAACGGAGCGACCTGCTCGTTGGAGGGCTCCCGTGCTTGCAGACTGATTCATGTGCATAAAGAGGAGATTTTTCTTTCTGACTTTCTGTGGCTCAATTCGCATGCTGTGCCAGGGAAGCTTCAGGAATAAAATAATAATAGTTTGTGATTTATGAAATGTGGTTGGGTGCTTATAAATATTTAACTTTTATTTGAAAAATGTTTGAATCATTATCACTTTTAGCTACAGTAGTTCTGTTGGATGCAATCCATCTACATTTTAAGGATTTTATTTATGCATAAAAACAGTTAAAAAAAAATAGATCTGCAAACTAAGGGTTTTTTCCCCTGTTATTTTCTTTGGTTGGAATACTATTTTGACTGTATTGTCAGTTGATTAATTCATTTTTGCCTGTCTTAATTATTGTGCTTTTAAACAGATCCATATTGCTAATCTGACATCACCAACTAAATCACTGTTGTGCAATGCATCTATTTTAGTTGCTCTGAGCCATGGATAGTTTCAGTGCTTGCAAATTATGCAAAATGGTACCAAACAGTCATTTTTACATTTTAATCGTCAAAATTCATTGTACAAAGCCACGTGTAATAACCAGGTTATTATGCAGCATTACTCTATGAGAGTTAAATGGCCATGAAGTACTGAATCTGTCTGTCATCAGCTGGGGAAAGCAATACCACTGCACTAATCTGTGCGTGCAGGGACCCTGAAGGGAAGCTGTCTGTGCATATGGGAGCGAGTGTAGAGCGGTGTGCTTCTCCTAGCATTATTGTCTGAGCTCATGTTTGCTGTATTAGCTTCAAAGTACCTTCTGTGCCAGTCTGGGTGTTTGTTATAAAAGAAAAGGTGACGGCGTTTTGTGTGCGGAGCCATGCGGGAGGGATGGGGATAGCAGAGCCTGGCCAGGCACTGTGCCTCTGCAGACTGTCAGATTTATAGTTCTTGCTTGAATTTCTTAAGAAAAGTGCATATATTGGAAGCTTATGGCGGGTGTTTTGATTAGCTGTAATCAGTAATCCTGAGAATGTTTAAGCCTCAGAAGATATATCTACCTATTTTAACTAGGCGTATTTCCATCTTCTGTGAGCATTAAGTAGGGCTGGGAAAGGGGGGGAAAAAAACCCAGTGAAATCTGTATAGAGATGTGTTTTATAAGCATGCTGCCGAGTTGAACACTATAAACATGGTGTTAGGGTGGCATTTCGAGTGACATGAAAGCTACAAAATTCACATGAATTTTTCATTGTACTGGAAAGTGAGATGTTAAGATGCTAATGGCAGGTTTACGGAAATATTTTGTTTAACTATCTAGTATGCAAAACTGCTAGTTGCAAATCACTTTAAATTATGAAAGCCAGAGATGCTGTCTGCTACGTGCTTCTTAGAAAATGAGGGAAACTGTTACATGAAAACACAGATTTAACTTTGTGACGGTGATCAATTTATCACTATTTACATACATTTATGCAAAAGATACCAATTCTGAAGACTATATTTAAAACACAAGTTGAATACAATTCACAGCTCATCATCCAAATCTTGCCTTCCTCCCCCCGGCACTGCAACACATTTGGCTTGTGAATGGGTTAAGCTTTTAAGTTCTTCACTTGGTTTTAAATTGTGACTTTGATACAGAAGGTTGATATGACTGTGGTTTGAATAACATTTGATTTTGACCTGTTCCTGTGGGTTGCAATGGTATAAGAAATTTGACTCAGCAGTACTGTAATTAGCCCTCCCTGTGTTTTTGAAACAGGATTGTGTTACCTGGATTGCATTAGTGTGGCTTCTATTGTCGCCGCTTTGCATCTGTCCCAGTAGGGTACTTAAAACCTTTTCTTGGCCGGGGCTAGTTCAAACAATTTAGGCCAAATAAGTACGTGCTTTATACAGTCAGTGGCTTTAGCGATGCTTCTTGTGACATTTATCCTATTCATTTTTTCCCCCTTTTGGTTTGGAAAGGATGAAACGAGCTATGTGGGGCCTTTTTACCTTAAAACGAGTCCGTTAAGCGCTAAAGCGCCTGCACGAGTCAGCACATGTGTTTAGTTGTACTCCATTGTCACTTCTGCATGCACACAATTTTAAACTATTATGTCAATTGATACGCTCAGCCATATTTAGCTATTTCTGTTTGCCTGTGAGCTTACAGAACTCATTTGCCATTTGGGCTAAAGCACTCCCACATGCCTTACAGTCTGATAAAGCCTTGCCTATGGATTTAATCTAACTCTCGCATCAAATCCTACCAATCCTCAGACTCTGACCTAACATAGAATTTAACGTAGAATCCATCTATGGGATTTTTGACATATGTACTTAAATGGAAATGCTATCCTCTTCTTCCATGCTGGAATACTGTTTTGGATTGATTAATTCTCTTTGATGAGGCCGGAGAAACTCGGGATAGAGAGGGCTCGGTCTTTGTGGTGGTTTAGCTAACTTGGCAAAGAGGCTCTTTGTCAACTTCAAAGTTACATGTGTTGTGCTCTTTTTCAAATCCTAGATGTATATGAAAAGTAAATAGCACATTTTTATTTAATCAAAATGCAGGATTTAAAAAATAATAATCCGTTGTTGCGTTTGAAACAGGATATGACTTTATCCTTTGTAGAACTGCTTTATAGTTTGCCCTATTATAGTATCAGCGGATATAGCAGTGAAAGGGACCGAAAGAAATTCGTACTTGTAGAGGGATCTCAGTTTTCTCTGGAGAACAAAATCTCTTCTGCTTATAGAGCAGTCATTTCAAGGAAGTTTCTTGGAAACCTGTGTATTTCTGAATCATCTTAGCATAGCCTGTATATTTTATCACTAATCCGGTTACATGTGTTCAGATGAAGCTCTGATGAACAGGAACTCATTTTAAAAGGGATATTATTGTCACAGTACAAATGCACAATTCCTTCTACAAGTACAGTAGCAGGGCTGTATTGTAATCACACTTGAAGAAAACACAGAGCACTTCCTGTTATTAAATTAAATTCTAGATTGATTTAGCATTCAAATAGTAACTTGTATTTGAATTTAAGAGGTTTGCAATAAAATTTCTGTGAAGAAATTGAATAAATTGTAGTTTTATTACCACTCTGGATATCCCAGTGTCCTAACCTTTTTCCTTACAGTTATCTTAGTTCAATAAATAAAACCTCATTAGACTATTCCCATTTCAACGAGTTTATTAAATTTTACAGAAGTAATTAGCATAAGCTGTGCTAATTTTTCTAGAAGACTAATGAGAGAGCTTCCTAATTAGGTTTGCTTTGTAAGAATCAGAAAAGATGATAATGACAAAAGTCACATAGGGGAGAAAGTGGGGCTTTATATTCTTCCTTGGTTCAGGAAAGAGGCTCTTCTCTCTCTGTGCTGCTCCGAACTCTTAAACCCAATTTACCACTATGGGGACCAGTATTTAGTGGTGCTACCCGTGCCTGTGGGGGATTCCTTACCTTTTATGGCTGGATCCAGTAGACAGGAGTCCTATTGACTGATAAAATAGAAATAAGCACTGCAGCCCCAAATATAGTGGCAGAAAAGTCTCAGCATCGAGGATCATGCTCTGCCCACAATCCTAAAGCCTGTACCCTGTGTAGGGACAAGGGGATGGAGGGACAAGGTGCTGCAAACTGCCCATGTGGCAACTGTTGCTCATCCCACATTCTGCTTTTTCCTGATGTACACGAATAGACTTGAGCTGGTGACCTGAAATGAGCTTTGCTGATATTTGTTGGTATGGATGAGACCTACTTCAGGAGCCTCACAACTGTCTTTCCTTTGGACACATGCCCTCATGTCAGCACGTGGGATCACAGGATATCCCGAGTTGGAAGGGACCCAAAAGACCCCAGCTCCACACAGAACCTCCCCAAACCCTGTGTCTGAGAGCATTGCCTAAATGCTCATTCATCTCCAGCAGCTCAGAGCCATACCCACTGCCCTGTGCAGCCCGTTCCATGCCCGCTGCCCTCTGGTGCAGAACTTCTCCCTTACTCCCACCCGCCCCTCCCCTGACACAGCTCCATGCCATTCCATCCAGCCCTGTTGCTGCCACAGCAGAGCTCAGCGCTGCCCTCGCTCCATGTGAGAAGCTGTAGGGTGCCATGAGCCTCCACACAGCTTTGTGCTCCCCGGGGGGCTGTGTGCCCCAGAATGGCATGATGAGGGGCACTGGCCCTGCTCTAGCAAAGCACCGATGCTCTTCATGTGACAGTCTGGGTGCTGTGTCTGAGGAACAAGTCTCCCTCTGACTTCAGAGGAGTGGCCGATGCATTTGCAGCGCTATCAGAACTCTTGTCAGTGAAGCACAGGTGGGAACTTCTGGGCTGGAGGCTGTGATACTTTTGGAAGTTTATCAAGTGCGTTTTAATGCATGGCCTGCTGCACGCATTTGAAAGACCTGTGCAATTCAACACCTGCCATAAGGATGCTCAGCTGCGCTGCTTGCACTCCCCAGCACTTCCATGTGCTGTGGCTGCTGAGGGAGCCAGCTTTCCTGCAGATGGTTTTGAGATCTTTCAGATCCCAACCTGAAACATTTTATGTTTGTGGGCAGGACTTTACTGTGGAACGGCATGAAAAGAGGCGCGAATGACTTTCAGTGTCTCCATTTTACTGCTTTACAAGTCGTCATGCAGTGGATCACATTTTACAGGCCTGATCATCTTTTCATCCTAAACAGGAGGCGAGAGGAAAAGTGACACACTGGGCTGCATTTCCCTGACTGCATCCTCCACACAAAGACATTTGTTGAGAGGATGCGTGATGGTCAGCGTGTTGTGCAGCAGCT